CTCTTTCCACCTTTACATGCCGTTCAGAGATGGAGCTAGGTGGCCAGGCTGGCCTCGGCCTCAGAGATCCGCCTGCCTCTGCCTACCGGGTGCTGGGAATGAAAGCATGCTCCACCACCACTGCCCAGTATCAAAGACATTTTTACCTGGAGTTATGGTAACATTGTTTAGAAATGTTTAGGACTCTTAATTTGAAACACTGGTAGCACTTGGGAACTCTGAATAAACTTGTCTTTTCCTCTTTCCCTCAGTTATCAGCTGTTACCAAAGGTTGTGACAAAAATTGGCAAATGTGGCTCTGCAGATATTCTTCTTGATTTGAGAAAAGCCATATGCTTTCCCTTTTACAAGTTATATTTATTTTTAAGTATCGTTGCCACTATTTAACAATATTAAGGGGAATCTGTACTAAATACCAGATTGCTGCTGGCAAATTGAAATTCTGCTACCAAAGTCTTGAATCTTCCGTATGCTCGGATGAAAGGACACCCTGGTTCTTGCATGCATGACATTGCGAGGGTTTATAGGTTTTCAGATTAAAATTTGCTGTCAGGCATCTGCTGATACTGTTTCCTTCCCCGGTGGCACTGTGATAAAGTTTCCATCCAGGTTCTTGCCCAGGTCGCAACAGAATTTGAGAAAGGAGTGTGTGAGTGGTCCCTGGAGAGGGGCATGCCTCCCTGAGAAGGCCGTACTGGAGCCTCCTCTGGGCAAGAGGATTGCTGGGAAGGCATGCTGCCTGGAAGAGACAATGAAGCCGAGAGCCTGGGTACCACAGGACATGGTGGTATTTCCAGAGAGGAAGGTAGTTTGGTTTTGTTGAAGTATAAGCATTAGTGGGGAAGGATGTTGGGGGGGGGGGAGCTAGAGTGGTCGGTTGGGCCAGGTCAGGAAGAATCGTGTGTGTCTTCCATGCAGTAGATACTGACTGGATAGCTTGTGCCCCAGGCTGTGCTTAGACACACAGTGCTCCTCGTGGGAGTAGAGAGAGACGATAAATAAGAACAGATGAGTGCATACAAGATACATTAGTGACCGCTGTTAAGTTTTGCGGTGAATAAAAATGGGAGATACCATATTAGGGGCTGGGGAGAGGTTGGTTAAAGAGCCAGCTGGGTACATGGGCCTGAAGAGGGAGATGTGCAGGCACCCTGAGGTGGGGACTGGAGAAGTGACTATTTCTGAGTTCAGTGCTCAGCACCCATGTGAGGCAGCTCACAACTGCCTGACTCAGAGTTCTGGGGGTCCATCCTCCATGGGTCCTCCCACACACATGTGCACATGTTTTTAAAATTTCATTCTTAGAAGCCCTGAAGTTAGACTGTCTGTCGCCTATTTAAGGAAATCTTCAGAGTTAAGCACAGCCGAGTGTCATGAAGGGAGAGGAAGAGAATGTAGGGCTCAGGAAACAAGGTAAGGATTTGGGATGAGATAAGAGAGAGTGGATAGAGAGTTTAATGCTAAGGAAAATGTTTGCTTTTGAAAGATCGCTTTGTAGTAGGTCGAAAACCAAGAAACCAGCGAGGGAGTTATTTTAATAATGGTGGGGAGAGGTGACAGCCTGGACCAGGGTAGCCACAGTGTGTGTGTGTGTGTGTGTGTGTGTGTGTGTGTTGGTGGTGGTGGTTACTGGGAGACAGTTTTGCCATATATAATAAATAAGCAGCCATTGAAGAATTCAGGTCCATAGTACTGGAGAGATGGCCCAGTGGTTAAGAGCAATGGCTGCCCTTCCAGAGGCCCCAGGTTTGATCCCAGCACCTACATGGCATCTCACCACTGTGTAACTCCACCCAGGGGCTCCACATCTTCTTCTGGCCTCCACAGACACCAGGCGAGCACATAGTGTACAGATATACATGTCGGCAAAATACTCGTACACATTAAGTGAAAATAAATAAATCTTGAAAAAGAATTCTGATCCATGGGATGCCAGATTTGGTGTGTTTAAAAAAAAGGGGGGAAAGTTCTCGTAGTCATGTGCAAGAAATGAGATAATGAGCTGGATCCCTTTCCAAAGGTCCAGGCACTAGGAATCAAGATAGAAACCTCAGAAGGAAGGTAGGCTCAGGCCTGAAAGCCCTGGAAGCCAACTTTTTGCCAAGGGGTAGAAATAGGAAATATTTACCCATTTGGAAAAATCTTTTGTGAGCCTTGCAAGGTGCCTGATTATGAGGTAACCCATCTCAAACGTTATCCGAGCTCCTCACCACATGCTGGATGCTGTTGTGACATCTGGATCTTCCCGTGACCCAGGGGTGAGGGCTGGAGCAGAGTGGCAATCGTGGTTCCATTGTTTTCTTCTTGTTCTATGTGTGCCATGTGTATGTGTGTGCGGTGTATGTATGGGTACATATTTTTGGGTGGGAGCTTCCATGTGTTCAGGTGTGCATGCATATGTGTACATATGAATGTGGAGGCCATAGGTATGTATTGAATGTCCTCTTCACCTGCTCTCCACATTTAGGGTGTTAAGGTCTCCCACCACATAGCTAGACTGAAGCTGACCAGCAAACCTCAGGGATTCACTTGTATCTATCCCCACCTCCACTCCCACCCCACCCCGCCCCAACACCCTAAGTTACAATTGTACAAGCTTTTCATGTGGGCACTGGGCATCTGAAGTCAGTTCCCCATGCTTGCATGGCGAGTGCTTGGCTGACTGAGCCGTCTCCCTGGGTTCTATGGTTACCTCTCAGGAAATGCCACCATATCCTTCAGGCTCTGTTTTTGATCCAGGGTCTTGTAATGTCAAGGAGCTGCCAACTCCTAAATTCAAGTGATTTTTAACTTCTCAACTGTGTTAGAAGCATGTGATACTTCATTTAATTTTACTTATTTATTCATTTAGCTTTATTGTCAGTGCTAGGAGTAGAGCTCTGACCCTCCCTCGTGCCAAGGTACTCTAGTGCTGAGATACCTGCCTCCCCAGCCCGACTTTCTTTGATTTTTAAGGGCAGTGATACATTTTGGGGTTCAGCAGCCTCTCTTAGTTGGAAGTTGTTTTGGGCCCGCCCCTAGCTCAGCTTAAACAGGAAGACAGTTGGTCCCTGTCTTAGTTAGGGTTGTTGCTGTGAAGAGACATCATGACAACAGCAACTCTTATAAAGAAAACATTTAATTGGGGTGTCTGGCTTACAGTTTCAGAGGTTCATTCCATTATCATGATGGGGAGCATGACGGCATGCAGGTCGATGTGCTAGAGCAGGCAGCAGTAAGTCGACTGAGACACCCGGTGATATCCTGAACATGGGAAACCTCACAGCCCCCCACCCCCATGACACACTTCCTCCAACAAGGTCATACCCACTCCAACAAAGCCATACCTTCTAATAGCGCCACTGCCTATGAGGTTATGGAGGCCAATTACATTCAAACTACCACAGTCCCCTTCCGTGAAGTGTCTCACACTGTCTCTGTCAATATTTCTCTTACACAGTTGCTTCTTTTTTCCTTTCCCAAAGGAAATGATAATTGATAATGCTTTTGAGGTTAGAGAAAACAAGTTAGGTTTTACAAAATGGCCCTCAACTTTTTTTCTCCCCGACCCTGACCCAAATTTATGCTAGGTTTTCATCGTCATCTAATTCACGCATACCTATGTTTACCTAACAAAGTGCTGTCTATAGCAATATTTATCCCTTACCAAGTGCATTGCGCTTTAATCGCTCCTGTTCATTTAAAATGCTCTTTCTAAAAGCACACACAACCACTATAAATTCATTTTGGAATCCACTAATAGGCGGCCAGAGTTTGAGAGCATGAATTACACCAGCAATAAACAAACAGCCCTGGTGTGCTGGGTTCCTGGGAACGATGCTGCAGACCAGGTGGCTTAAACAACAGACCCCTTTCCCTACAAGCTAGAGGTCAAAGCAAGGTGGCCAGAGTCTGCTCTCTGAGGCCTGGGAGGGAGGTTGGGCTTGCCTCTCCGAGCCTGTGCTGGCTGGCTGCCAGTCTGTGGTGTTCTGAGTCTGGGTGCATCACCTTGTTCTCTCCCTTCATCACTGTGTGCAGGATTCTCCCCGTGTGGCCAAATTAGCTCCCTTTTAAGGACGCCCGTCACATTGGCTCGGAGGCTTACCCTATGCCATATGACCACATCACAGCTTGCCTGATGACATCTGCTGTGACCCTATTCCCAATTAAGGCTGTGTTCTGACATACTGGATTTCAGAATTCAGCCTATGAATTTTGCGTGAGGCGCACAGATCAACTCCTAGCAGATGATAGAAATCCGATAGCGACAATAGAAAGCCCCATCATATTGAACCACTGTGCCAGAGAGAACTCTTCAGCTGGGCGTTTTGTTTTATTAACTCACTGACAGCCATCTTATTTTGTAACCAAGGAAAGCGAGCTAAGAGAGATTTGATTCTGGTCTCCTTGTTTCCTTGTTGCACCTGTTTGTAGAATATCAAGATTGGTACAGTTAGTCATTTGGGCTAAATGGAAACGCAAAATCCAGGTCATAAACTCTACAAAATCGTGCTGAAGGGACGTTTGTTTGCAGTGAGACCTTCTGAAGGGACAGGCAGGTGCCTGTGGCTGAGGGTCCTGCCCCAGAGGTCTGTGGATCACAGGCTCCCCTGGCAGGTAATGTCAGCCAGCCGTTGGCTCTGTCCACTGTGTTCTTTCCCACCGCAAGCTGCTGTATTTCTGACAGCACCAGGCAGTCTCCCTCCCTCTGAGCTTCCCCATCAGCCTGCTGAATTTAGATCAGGGTGAAGAGTAGAGAGAAGGAAATGAGCCAGAAAATAGAAAATTAATACTTGGCGGAATTGTCATATTTTAAAAATAATTTATAACCAATGTCAGATAACAGGAGTTAAATCATTTTATCAGCAGGCTGCCCGAGGATTTGAGAATTGGCATCCGTCATTATAAATCAGGTCTTGGGGACAGTCTCCGGGGTGAAGGCTGGTGTGCGATGGGCAGAAACGTAAATATGTGTTGCTCTGTGTCCTTTCGCACAGGGCCTTTGCTCTCACTGCAGGACAATGGCGTGGGAAATGCTAACGGTGGAAGACAGAGCTATCCGAGGCCATGGTTAGACCGCTCCTCATATTCAGTCTCCCTGCCAGCCCTGGGAAACTAGTTGTGTGGAAGGCATTCATTTCAGGGTGCTACTTCCAACCCATAATTTCAGGAATGACTTAATCTTCTTCAGTGTGGGTTCATTTTCTTAGAGATGCCACCTTCTGCCCTTGGGCCCCTGAGCAGGAGCATCCTACAAATGTCACTTTTATACTACGAAGGCCCTCCGTGAGTAAAGTCCACCTTCCATTCCCTCTCGTTACAGCCGTCTGTCGCGGGCGCGTGGTGAGAGTCCCGGCGGGCAGCCTGGTTCGGGTGGTGGGCACCGAGCTGGTGATCCCCTGCAACGTCAGCGACTACGATGGCCCCAGCGAACAGAACTTTGACTGGAGCTTCTCCTCTTCGGGGAGCAGCTTCGTGGAGCTCGCCAGCACCTGGGAAGTGGGCTTCCCAGCACAGCTGTACCAGGAGCGGCTGCAGCGGGGCGACATCCTGTTGAGGAGAACCGCCAACGATGCTGTGGAACTGCACATAAAGAATGTCCAGCCCTCGGACCAAGGCCACTACAAGTGCTCCACCCCGAGCACAGATGCCACCGTCCAGGGCAACTATGAGGATACAGTGCAGGTTAAAGGTACAGCTCTCACACCGTGCCGGATCTTCCTCTGCTATTCTGCTGCAGCAAAGACACTCAGTTCCCCTCTCCATCGCAGTGATGGTGTCTTACCTGGTGTTAGGTGGAGGGTGGACCAAGTGACCCCGGAGAGCCCTTCTCCTTTCCCAGTGTAATTCTGACACATCCTATAGTGAACTGTGGGCACCGTGGTGTGGTCACCTGTGAGCCCAACTCTGAAGCCAGCTTGCCTATGCAGTCGGCTCCGGGGTCTGCCACTTGTCAGCCAAATAGCTCCTGGCTCAGTCTGTGCCTCAGCTTCCTGTGTCCAATGGAGCCTTCAAAGGTGCGGGGACAGGAAGGCTAACCCATGTCAGGCCTCTCCAATTGTGTCGTTGTTAGTGTTCAGCTTACAGACAAGCTGGAAGGCATGACTGTGAGGTTTAGCTTTATGGGAGAAATTGAAAGTTCAAAGTTCATATCTTTTCCTCTGGGACCTTCCTGAGTGAATACCTGTTTGCATCAGAGGTTTTTTTAAAAAAAAAAAAAAAAAAATATATATATATATATCTGTAAAAAATTTAAATATATATATATATATATATATATATAAAATGTATGCAATATTCTGTCTGTATGCCTGCGAGCCAGAAGAGAGCCACCGGACCTCATTACAGATGGTTGTGAGCCACCATGTGGTTGCTGGGAATTGAAATCAGGACCTTTGGAAGAACAGGCAATGCTCTTAACTGCTAAGCCATCTCTCCAGCCCCCTGCATCAGAGTTTTGTCCTTGCTGTATATAGATGATAAACCACGTGGTTACTGCCATTTCATAAACCCAGCTGCGCAAAGTTGACGTCATAGGCACCTGGAATGTTTTGAGTTTGGGTTTTCCTCACCTTCTAAGTGCTGTTGGGTTTGCTCACACCTTCAGTTATCTGAATCCAAATGAAGACGATAGGACAGGCTATCTTCCTAATTCACACGTGAGATGGAAATACATAGGTTAATTGCTTGCTTAAAATGACATAGCTCATTAGTGAGTGAGCAAGAAGCAGCTATTTCAATTTGAGGCTAACAAAACGGAAAACAGTCTTATTAATTGTACATTCATTTGTGCAAACCCTGCCTTGTTTCTGAAAATAGTTGTATTAGGGCAGGTGTGTATATAATTACCTGGAAAGTTAGGAAGTGATAATAGAAGCGAGCGGGCGAATCCGGGCCCCCACCCTTTGTCATGGTTGGTAAGGACAGCTGTCGCTCAGACTCAGCTCCTGCTGTTCTTTACCAAAGCACGAGGGGATGGAATGTCAGCCGTGTCTGACAAGTAGGGGCCAACGCATCAGGCCAACCAGTCTACCTCTTCCATCTTCCCGTAAAAGGTATAGAATGTCGGTGGGTATGTTGGCACACACCTATAAACCTAGCGCCTGGGAAGCCGAGGCAAGAGGATTGAAAGTTTGAGGCCAGCTGGGCAGAACTATATTGTGGGTCAATATATGTAGCCAGCTTGAGCTACATAGCAAGACTCCATCTGGGGTTTGGGGCATAGGAAACTCGAAAGTTCAGTGACAGAGTCATCGCCTAAATAGGCAAGGCCTTGGATTTGACGTCTAGAATTGGGGAATGAAAAATCTTGACTTTCTTTTTTCTTTTAAGATTGCCTATAAGACCTTTTTGCCCTGAGTTAAGTAGTACCAGCGCCCCCCCCCCCAAGTCAGATACACTATGTGATTTACGGTAAGAAGCAGAGGGTGAGAGACCCTCCAGCCCTCCCTGATATCTGCCTGTTTCTTCACTAGTCTTTGAGGCAAGAGAAGCAAGGGGAGGCTTTTCTTGGCTAAGGAGAGCAGGAGGATATTGTGAGAGGCTGGCTGGCTGCCCAGGTGCAGTCTCTGGCAGGAGCTAGATGTGGTCCGGCATCTATCTGGCCTCCAGCTTCGTGGCTCTTGAGGTTGCCTCAGTGAAGCACTGGCCTTGAGAAAGACGCCATGCTAGCTACACTTACAGGTTGATGTGTGTAATGGAGGCCACGATCTTAGTTTTGTAGAAGAGATGGGCCTATGTGAGTGTTCTTCTAAAGCAGTAACGTTCCTGGTACCTGGAGCAATCCCTTTCTGAGTGTGTACCAGGGAGACGAATTGTGATGCTCCTGGTGAGCTTGGAAGATTTCCCCAACCCTTGGTAGATGCCCCCGCCCCTTTACCAGATGATCACCAACCCTGTCACTGTCACTTCTCCTGAACCCACCCTCTTTTCAAGACTGGAGCAGTGGTAGCTTCTTCCCGTTGGTGCTAAGAATTAGCAGTAGAGCCTCCAGTATTTTGTGGCCCCTCCCTGTCCTGTGGATATTCCCTACCCAGGACATGCGCCAAAGGCCACTCCTGCCGTCACCTCTCCCTGGAGATCTTGAGTCTTGGCAGCTTATTTGTCTCTAGATTGCAGACTTTCCTCCTCCAGCCCCATGTCCCAACCAAAGGATTGTTTGGGCATCTTGTCAGTCGTTTCATCCTGGTGCCAGGCACTGCCC